AGACATACACAGAATATTCTATCCAACAGCAGAACACACATTCTTCTCAAGCTCACACAGAATATTCTCCAGAACAGATTGCTTGTTAAGCCACAAACAAGTCTTAACAAATTTCAGAATATTGAAGTCATATTAAGTTTATTTTCTGACCAATGTGGCATGAAAATAAAATCACTAATAGGAAGAAAACTGAAAAATTTATGTAGATATGGAAATAAAACCACCACCAGTTGGTACTTTGACAGATGTTGGTCAAAGGGTACACACCTTTAGCTGCAAGATGAGTAAGTACTGGAGAGTGAAAGTACAGTAGCTTCAAATTTGTTAAGAAAGTAGACCTCAAGTATTAACACATAATGCACATACACACATATACAAATGGTAATCACGTAATATGATGAATATGTTAATTAGCTTGATTGTGGTAATCATTTCATAAGTGTGCAAATGCTTTAAATATCTGTAATTTTTATTTGTAAATCACACCTCAATAAAGCCTGAAAAATTGTAGTGTGTATATATATACACATTGGAATATTATTCACACTTTAAAAAGCAAGATACAGAAGGACAAGTACTGCATGATCTCACTTACATGTGGAATCTAAAATACTCAAACTGAAAGTAGAATGGTGGTTGCCAGGGGTGGAAAGGAAAGGGAGAAATGAGATAGCAATTAAAGGTTATAAAGTTTCAATTATGCAAAATGAATGAGTTCTGAAGAGTTAATGCACAAGATGGTTTCTATACTACAACGCAATGTTGTATTGAACAACTGAAATGTCCTAAGATAGTAGATCTTAAGGGTTCTCACTATACACACAAAAAGGTAACCCTGTGAGGTAATTGATATGCTAATTATTTTAAATGGAATGATCATTTCACAGTGAACACATATTTAAAACCATCAAGTTGCACACTTAAATACACATAATTCTTATTTGTCAAATTATACCTCAATAAAACTGGAAAAGGGAAATGAAGGAGAATAAACTAGATCATGTGGCCACATGCCGATGGACCTCCCACTGAAGGTCTATTCTCCTTTCAAACGACTATCATAAATCTTTTTTGTGGATTTCTGTATTTCCTCCCTCTCTCAGTCCCTTCAGCCATAATGGTGTAAACAACTCTGCCACCTCTTACCCCTGATTATACACTGGCCTGTGTGGTACTCTATACCTATAAACTCATAGACAGTATCTTGTTAAACAAATCTTTTTCAAATTAGCCTATATTGAGTATGTCAAACTTTTTTGCAAGTTGGAACTCTAAATGATATAATTTTCTGTAAGTGTATCCTTCCTTGAGTGTGTCAACTTGTTTCATCCTATTGATTCTACCTTTACAACTAAGATGCTCCAATGTATTAGATAATATAAATTCCCACCCTCTCCTTTCTGTTTCATGAAGCTGGGGGCTTCCATCCTCTGCTTTCAACCATTTCTGTTGTCTCCTATGCCTACTGTACAGCTGTCATCTTAAAAGTGCCTTTTGATCCCTTTGTGGTTCATAAGAGTGATGATTGAGTTTTCACACTCCTGTGTGAGATGTATCTCCCTCAAATCTTATGACATGTGCACATTACCTGACTCACATGAAGAAAGAAAAAGGAAAAAGAAGAGAGATTAGGATTTTTTTTTTTTAAACAAAGTAGGTTTAGCCACCTTGCATTGCATATATTAATTTATTGATCTCATTTCTTCCTCTTGTTTTGGTGGGACACATTATCCCATACTTTCAAAAAAAGAATACTTGTGAAGTAAACTTTATAAATTTTTGCACGGCTAAAAATACTTTATTCTATCTGCCTAACTGATAGATTTGTTCTATATAGAATTCTAGGCTGAAAATCAGTTTGAAGAACTTTACCACTGTATTCTAGGAATGAGTTTGCTACAAAGCATTCTCATGCCATTTGAATTTCTGCCCATTTGTGATCTATGTGAATTTGCTACAAAGCATACTCATGCCATTTGAATTTCTGCTTATTTGTGATATGTGGTTTTATTTTCTTAATAATTTTACAATATTTTCAATCTTTAAGGTGGTAAAATTTCAGAAAAATGTGCCTTGAGATTTTTTTTTTAATCTTGTGCTGGGCATTCAGTAAATTTTTTACATCAAAAAAATTAAGCATTTCTGTCCTAAGAAATTTATTTTGTTTTTTGTTTTTTTTTAATTCATCTCTGTTTTCTTGTCCTTCTGGAATACGTGTCAGTTAAATGGTTTGCCCCCAACTCCATACCTTATGTTTCTTGCTTTTATCTTTCCTTTTCTCCATTTCTTTGACTTTTTTTATTCTACTTTCATAAAGACTGTACTTTTATGACTTCTTTGACTACTTGTTTTCTTTCAATCCCATATTAATTTGTTTTAATTTTATTTTTCTTTTTCATTTTATTTACTTTCCAAAAATAATTTGTTCTTTATTTTTCAATGCATCATACTCTTATTTAAAGATTACAAATATTTTCTTTCATTGAGGAAAAGATACAGTTTAAAAAAATTTTTTTTTCACTGAATTACCTCTAATTCCACCAGATTCCTTTTGGCTTTTTAAAAGGCTTACTTTACTTTTTTTCTTTTCTTTTTACATTAAAAATGCAAATTTTTAATTTATATAAGGCAAAAAGATTGATCTCTTAAGCCAGCTTACTACTTGGTAGGCTTCTGGTCTAGGTTCCAGTAGAGAGGTAGCCATTTGTAATCTCCAAAGGCTTTAAAATTGTTTCTTTTTTTTTTTTTTTTTAAGACAGAGTCTTGCTCTGTTGCCCAGGCTGGAGTGCAGTGTCACCATCTCAGCTTACTTTAACCTCTGCCTTCCAGGTTCAAGTGACTCTCCTGCCTCAGCCTCCTGAGAAGCTAAGACTACAGGCGTCTGCCACCACACCCGGCTAATTTTCTGTATTTTTAGTAGAGACAGGGTTTCACCCTATTAGCCAGGATGGTCTCAGTGATCCTCCTGACCTCATGATGCTCCTGCTGATGCCAATATTCTGTCTATGACTCATAGGCCACTGTTAGCATCTGGGAGCAGAAAGAGAGGATGGATGATTGGACTGTTCCTTTCTCTTAATTTTCAGTAGCAGCCCTGAACCTCACCGCCCCGACCTGGCATCCCGGCATCCCAATCATTGCAGGGATTCAGGAAGCGAATCTCTGGCCTTTTTTTCAGTATTTCTCTCTGTTGGTAATTAGACTTAGCCTTCCCTATACTACCAAATCAGTTACTACTTTTTTTGTCTTACCTTTTCCAAACTTTTGTTGGAATCTCTTATCTGCCTCTAACTCCTGTCCTATTTCTTTGTTCCTATGGGTCTAAACCATTTTTTTCTTGCTGCAATTGTTGTTACTGTTATTGTTGCTGTTATTATAATACTTTGCTCATAGGAGAGAAAAGGAAACCTAATGTATTCTCATTTTAAATATAATTTGTTTATTTATTGTTTATCTTAAAAACTCAGGAGTTTAAAAAAAGAATAGAATGACCCTTTTGCAAAGGGAAATTAATATGAAAATAACTATAAGAAAATACAATAACTATAAGAAAATTTTAATCATCAGAATGTTAATGGTAATCATGTATGAGAGGACTGGAGTAGAAAAACCATTTTAAAGACTTTTCAAAAGTCCCACCCCAACTACTGTTAAAATCAGATTGTCCGCACTTGGTTTCAAAAGGAATATCTTCCTCTTATAAGATCATTCTAAATTATTGAACTTTAAAAGAGCCTGAGGCAAGCCAATGCAGTATTTTAGTTGGGTCACCATAAATAATGTCAGGTCCCCATAACTAAGAAAAAAATAGAAATTGGAGTTATAATCAACAGATTCTGACAAGTGCCTACTCTGCAGGGCCCTCTGTTCCATACATGGAGAGTAGAGAAGAAGTAATATACATCACTTATATTCTTCATAAGTTGTGGAACTGAGATAAAAATCCATTAAGAAAGAAAAAAGTAAGTGATATTTTATAAACTATATACAGGATTGCTTAAGGCATATAGAAAATAAATGTGGAATGAAAATAATCAGGGAAGAATTCTTGAACAGTATGAGTTAAGATCTAAGAAAATTTATCAGAAGAAAAATGCCTTTTCCAGAATACTGAGAATACTTACCTATTTTTCAACTTTGCTAAGAATACCAAAAAAGAAAACGTGCTTATTCCATTTTGTTCTTTTAAAGAACTGAAGACAAGTTCAACTAAAAATTTATAATAGAATTACATCTCCTTTGTCATTTCAATAGTTCAAATGTCAACTCATTTTAGTTGTTTTAATCCAGTCTGAGTATTTATTGCAAAAAAAAAATTGTTTTCAGTAAAAATAGTATTATAGTACTGTGGTAGAAGAGTATTCAAATTTTCCAAGAGGATCTTTAAAGAAATCGCTGTACACCTCAAAATATGTAAAGTTCTATTTTTTTTCCCTGTACAAAAACCATCCTTTGGGCAATTTGTTGATTTATACTAACCCTTTTCATTGCAGAAAGTATATATTTCTAAGTCGGTATTTGTTGTATTGTATTATAATTATCTCCTTGCAAATCTGTTTCCTCTACTAGATTGCAATATTTATAGGAAAAGACTAGGAAAGGAAGAAAAAAAAAGAAGGAAGAAAAGAAGGAGTGAACAAGAGTGCAGCTTCCGGTAAATTAGACTTCTGTTTTGAAGAGACATGATCTGGTGAGAAGATATGATCAGGGATATCTTTCTAACTCCATTCTAAATTACTGAATTGTAGCTTAAGAGCATTTCATGTGAGCAGAAGGAATCTAACAAGTTAAGTGAGATATTAAGTAGCAGTGTTAACTCTTTCACTCTAGAAGTAAGAGAGGATAAATCTTACCGAACATGAAAAGGTTTAAGTTTAGACTGTCTGAAATAGCCTCAAATTATTTTCTGCTAGACAAAATATAAAAGCTGCATTTTCGGAAGTATTTTTTTTCATTGTTAATAAATTAGGGATCATTGAAGTGATCGACTAAGTCTCTGATTTTGCAATTCTGACAAACTATTCTTTCTGCTTTTCCTTCAACGAGATCTTGCTATTCCACAGACGCCTCATGGCATTCTTTACATCCTTATTCCTCAGCGTATAGATGAGTGGGTTCAGCATTGGGGTGATGGTGGTATAGAACACAGACACAGCTTTATCCAAAGGGAAAGTAGTGGATGGGCGGAGATAAATAAAGATACATGGAACAAAGAAGAAAGTTACTACAGTCAGATGAGACCCACAGGTAGAGAGAGCCTTGCGTCGCCTCTCTGCAGACTGTTTTCGAAGACTAAACAGAATGACTGTGTAGGAGGCCAAAAGAATGAGGAAACACCCCAGGGAGATGAGACCACTATTGGCAACTACCAACATGTTTACCAGGGTTGTATCAGCACAGGCAAGTTTTAGGACTGGGTGGACATCACAAAAGTAATGGTCTATAATCTGAGCATTACAGAAGGGCAGCTGGAAGGTCAGGAGGGTCTGAACAAAGGAATGACCCAGGGCCCCCAACCAGGACACTGATGCCAGCACAGTACAAGCATTAGCACTCATGATGGCAGTATAACGGAGGGGTTGGCAGATAGCAGCATAACGATCAAAAGCCATGACAGTCAAAACAAAAATCTCAGCACAACCAAAAAAGTGGAAGGTAAACATCTGAGTTATGCAGCCCCAGTAGGAAATAGTCTTTTTCTCAGAAATAAAGTCTGCAATCATCTTGGGTGCTGTGGCTGAGGAATAGGCAATGTCCACAAAAGACAGGTTACTGAGGAAGAAATACATGGGTGTGTGTAGTCCGGGGTCAGAAAAAACCGTAAGCAAAATGAGCAAATTTCCCACCATGATCACGATGTAGAAGAGGAGAAATAAGGCAAAGAACATCAATTGCATTCCAGAATCTTGGGAAAGTCCCAGGAATATAAACTCAGTGACATTGTTGGCCACTCTCATGGGGCCCCAGGAGGGACTGGTGGAGTGGCTCTGATTCTCTGCAAAAATAAACACATGTTATAAACCATTGTAAGCATGGTAAAGCCTAACAATAAGAGTCTCGTGAAAATAACCTACGTGATATTAAATACGGTAGAGTAAGTTCTTCATATTTCTTGAACATAGTTCATGAACATTTTTCTTGTCATTAACTTTATTTCCACATTATTAACTCACATTTGAATTTCTTTTATAATTAGTCTTACAGTTCCTTTTTTCATACAAGAACCTAGAGAATCTGAGATTTTTCAATTGAATTCAACGTTTTTCCCTAATCAGTGCTCTATTTGCCCCCACCTCCAACTTCTCTTGTCAGAAATTTGCTTTGGGTGAAAACTTCATTTAATTAATTAATTAATAATTTTTTGAAGTTCTAAATAAAAGCATGAAGTCAGGGTATAAGATCTGATGTATAAAATTCCAAAATTCTTCAAATATAATATGTATTACTCAGCTATGGAAAAGTAACATTTTATTTAATCAAGAGAGGAAGACTCAGTTTCCAATTTCTCAATTAGATTGAAAGTCTCAGTTCAATTAAAAATTAAGTCATTTTTAGTGCTTATAAATCAACATTGAGGAAGTTTGAATCATAAGCCTTGACTTGCATGTGAAAATTCCATTTTGCGTGCCAATAAGGAATACATGAGAATTAAACAACTTATACAGAGAAATACTATTTTCTATGTTGCTGTAAAGAGTTGAAACATTTAAAAATTACTGAGTTCCTTATCACCCTCAATCCCTTTGCAGGTCCCTATCATTCTCAATCCTTTTGCCTTGAAAAAGACCCAGTTAACTCTCTGTCCTTGTAATCGTAGGTAAAAATTAGGAATGAAATTTTCCATACAGATAATGTTATAAATGATAGTTCTCCGTCTCAAAAAAAAAAAAAAAGTGTCTGAAGCAATTTTATAAACTGTAATTGGAATGCTTATGTCATACAGAGACTGGATAAAAATGATCAGAAAAAAATTATTAAAGGAGATTATTAGACATTGAGATCTAAAGTTTCTTGAAATAAAAATGGCTTTTCTGAAATATGAAAATTACTAGTTATTCTCCATCTTTACTCAGAATATCTCTTTTCTGCATGGGTAGCAGAAAGAGCACTGCCCAGACGCTGAGTGGTGTAAGTTTCAGTGCCCGTATCAGCCTTATAACTTTGGGTAAATTTATTTATCTTCCCTGAATCCCAGTTTTCTCATCTATAGATGAATGATAAAATTTTTTATCTCACAAAGCTGTTTTAGAATTAAAATGAGATAATCTATATAACACGTTCTTAATTTATGAGGTGTTTTCCTTTTAATTTGAATCTATAAAGTGGAATCTCTCTAGTAAGCACAATTTGTAATTCGATCTATTTAGCTATTATATTAAAGCTATATAATGTAACTACTAGAAAATATTAAAACACATATAATTTTATTTCTGAGATAATAGCTATATTATCTGCCCATCTCCATGAAAAAAATGCCACAAATAGTAGCTAACATTTACTGAGCATTTTACCACATGCGGAATCGTGCTAAACTCTTTGCATATGTTACTTCGTTCCACCCTCACAACAGTATCATAATTTTTATTATCTCCATTTTACAAAGCAGAGCACTAAAGATTAAAGAGGCAAATTATCCAATATAATTTTCAGCGAAAAGGCTGGTATTTGAATTGTGGTATTCTTATTCCAGAACACACGTAACTTACATATCCTTAAATAAATGATAGGTAGATAAAAAGATTAGCTAGATAGATGATAGACAGATGATGTTTCTCATAAAAAGAACTGAATTAATGTTATTATTATTATTATTATTATTGAGACAAAGTCTCATTCTGTTGCCCAGGCTGGAGTAAAATGCCGTGATCTCGGCCCACTGCAACCTCCGCTTCCTGAGTTTCAGCAATTCTCTCGCCTCAGCCTCCCACGTAGCTGAGATTACAGACACATGCCACCACAAAAAGAACTGAATTTAAACAATTGTTTTCTTATCATGCAAAGTGCTTCGATTGGAGAATATGTTTCACATTCCTAAAATCTTCGTATTGTCTATGCTCTACACCAGCAAAGCCAAATTGTGCTCAGTCAGCAGTTGGCAAAATCATAAGGGTTGAAAAAATGTTTAGATAAATAAAAAACACTTATATTGTACTTACTATATGCCAAGTTTGATTCTAGGCGTTTTACATATTATAGCTCATTTAACTCCCATAATGATCTTACAAAGTAGTCTATCACTATTATTCCCACTTCAGAAACGAGAAAACTGAAGCACAGAAAAAGTAACTTGCCCAAGGTCATAGAGCTAGTGATTGGCAGAGTTGACATTTGAACCTAGGCAATGGGACTTCAAGATTTATTTTCTTAACTACTATGCATACCCTGGGTCTGATGGCATCAAAGCTACCAAATGTCTTTCTCATTTGAAAGCCTTAAACCTTCTACAATAATCAAAAGACTCCTTTTCTTCTAATCATGAAAAGTTTTTTTTTAAGTATATACACTACTTAGACACAAAGACTATAGCTACAACTGGTAACATCATCAAGTCATAGAGACTGTGCTCAGCCTTTCTCAACTTTACAGTGGGGATATAATAACAAGTGATGTGATACTGATCATTAATTCAGTCATTATTTGATTTGGCAAATGTTGTCAATCAAGTGGAGGAGGTCCGCATGTAAATTATCACAGTTCTTGTGAAAGGCTCAGGAAGGAGACCCAGGAGAGACAGGATTGCCTTTTCAAAGGCTGTCACTGAGTGGAATTCTGATAGCTGAGTTAGAGTTAACCTGATGATTATGAGGATTGCAGAATGTGGGCACGAAAGAGTAGACAGGGCAGGAAGGACCTTCCAGGCCTAGCAAATAAAATATACGAAGGTAAAAGGGCATAGATCATTACACCATCCTCTCTGGGAAGTGCCAACAAGTTTAATATGATTCAGCACAGAATCCACATAGAGAAGTGTCAGGAGATGAGGCTGAAAAGAAGACAAGCCTAGATTACAGAATCATGTATATTATGCTTAAAAGTTAGCAATTAATCTTGAATTAATTGGGGTACCATAAAGATCACAACCACAGGAGGAGAGTAGCTCAATGGAAGGTAGGTGACAGAAGTTGTGAGAAAGAAGATTCCTGGAGTCCAGCTAGGTTCAAATTTTTGGCTTCACCGCTTGCTAACTGTACAACTTTAGGCAACTTACTTCACTTTTCTTTGCCTCAGTTTTCTCAGGTGTACAATGTGGATAAGAATAGTACCTTTATATAGAGTGTTACACACAGTAAATATATATTACATATAAAACGCTTACGTGCATAACATACTCTAAGCAAATATAGCATTATCATTATCCATCTTAGCTACCAGAGAACAGAAGCCCGGATAGGAGTGACCTTAGAACACTAACCTCTCTACTATATTCATCTCCTGATTCTCACCTATATGCATGCTCATGCTTGCCCAAATCTTAGACTGTGTATCTACTGTTCACACCTGCCCTCTCAAATATATTCTTCTGACTGGAGCAGCAACAGAGGACATTCTATATCCTTGCCTAGATGTATTTAAGAGTTCGAGCATGATGCCCAAAGATGTTTGGGCAGCTGCTCTATTCACTATGAGTGTGACAACTCTACTTTATCTATGACCCTCCTCAGGAGTTCATCAAATTGATCAAAATCTAGGACCCAAGAACTTTTTGTTAACTTCGCTGGGAGAAACAGCACAAGACTTAAAGATAGAACAACTCACAGCTCTGCCTCTTCAGGTTGTGTAACATTAACATAATTTTTCTAACATCTATTAACCTCCCCTGTGAAATAATGCTACCCATGGTAAGACTCAAATTAGACAATGAAAAAAAAAAGCAATAAACAACTTGCCAAACAAACTCTTCATCATTTTTGTGGTGGAATTTCAGGAACAGTCAGACAGCTGAACTCTATGAACAAGAGCCTCCATGGATTGTTTCTGCTGGTCTACCTGGGTTCTTAGGTTAAACTTGATCTAAGACAATGCTAAAGAATATGTATTAGTTAAAATAGGATTTGTGTAGCTAAAGAAAAAAGTTTCCTCCTTTATTTAACTGCATGAGCCTATATAAATTATTTCCAATAGAACGATTTCAAAGAATGCAACTCTTAGTATCTTCTGAGAAAGATATTGTCTTAGTTCCTCTCATGAGGGATTTACAAAGGGCAGCCATATACTATTCTGGATCTCTTTCCTAACAGCAAGCTCTATGTCACGGAAAACTTTTTATGTAACAGTGTTCTTCACTTCGATATCCTTCATAGAGACATCATGACATGTGTGCATGTTTTTATGTGCCTTGTCACCTGACATAATTTTATTACTTATTAATCCTATGCTGTTCTCCTAACTGGCCCCAACTGAAGAAACAATTTATCAATCTTTGTGGAGCTAAAAGATAAGGAAAAATATTGAAAAAAAATCTGCAAATGAGTTAGCATAGCACAATGTACGGATTGCTTGAGGTATCATCTATTTGATTTATATTTCATAAGTACCAATATTAATTTATACTTTCACTTAATATTTACTAAGCATATCTGTGTCTGGTACTGCACTGTGAATACAAAAAGAGGAATGCAACCCAATTCCCGACATAAAACCATTTATTTTAGAGCAGCAGTTTTAAATGACCTCCCTAAATCGTCTTAGACTGAAGCATAATTTACGTTAAGTCCTATACTTATCTATGTATAAACGATTTTAGAAATCATTTTATTTTATCCCACTCATTTAACCATTGGGAAACAAATAAGGGACAGAGAGGGAACTAAATTATCTAAGTTTACTGCTGGTGGTAAACCTGGTAAAACTAGGACTGAATTCCAATTGAAATTATATTGATATACACTTTAAATTGTAATATACTATTTCCTAAATTATTTAATTACTAGAACAGATACTGTAAAGCGGGTGAAGAATTTACAGAAGTAAAGAATTTATCTTTGAATATAATTTGAATCAATGAAAATTAACCTTGCCGCTTTCACTGGTGGTTTAAGGTATCACTCTAGATGGAAAGCTTACCCTGGCCGTTTTCTTGAGTGTGGTCCCACCACATGGATTTGAACAATCCAAGATCT